CCGTTCACCACCAGCTCCAGGCTGATGTTGCGCTTCAGGCCGGCCATGGAGTTCCACAGGGCGAGGGTGTAGACGCCTGCGCTGGCCTCGGTCACCTCCTTGAGCACCAGGGCATGTGGACTGTGGCGCCCCGACACGGCCTTTCTGTCCTTGTACCTGGCCCGGGAAGGGAGTTCAGGGCGCTCCATGGCCCCCACCTCCACCCACCCCTGCCCTCCTTCCCTGCCACACCCCAGCCCCTGCAACTGGAATGCACCGTTGGGAGCAGGACCCCTGCAGGCCAGGAGGCTGCTGGGTGTAGGGGAGGACAGCGGACCCTGCACGGGGAGCAGATGGCCTAAAGGCTGTGGGGGTGGCCGCCAGGCAGGAGCACGTCCCACAGGCTCAGGAGCACTGAGGTCTGGACAGGGCTTCCCACAGGCGGGGAGTTACTGCTCAGCACCTCCTCTCCGGCCTGTCTGTGGCCAGGGCCAGCCTCCGGCAGCCAGGCTCCTAGGCCCGCGGGAGTGTCCTGCCACCTTCCCAGCAGGCCTGTCCCTTCCCCACGGGTTTCAGTGAAGGAGGGAGGTGCAGTCCCCGGTGCAGCCTGGACCCTGGCCCTGTTGGGCCCTGCCTCCCTCTGGAGCTTGAATTCCCGTTCCCCTCCCTCCTCCATGTAACCAAGCACCCGCTCGTCAGACAAGCCTGGGAACCAGCGGGCCCTCGCCCTGTTCTGCTGCCTGCTCTCCTACACTCTGCTTCCCATGCTCTCCCCGAGCTGGACTGTCCCCTCACCGCTGCGTCCCCTGCACAGAAGCGGTGCCGGGCACCAGGAGGTGCCCAGAGCATGTTTGCTGCGCGTGTGAACCGGGAGGGGCACCCCCGGTCCTGAGCTGCACCCCCGTTCTGGACTCTGCCTGGAAACACATGGTCCCTGCCAGGTGGGCGCCTTCCCGGGTGTACAGGCCAGAGAGGCCCAGGAGGGGCACCGCCCTCGGGCAGAGCCAGCAGTGAGGGGGATGCAGGGACCCTTCTCAACTGTGGCACCACAGCCCCACCGGGAGGGCCGGGACTCACTGGGGCCACAGGGCAGGGCGGGCAGCTCTGGTGCTGTCTTGAGTCTGCCACCTGCCACCTCTGCGATCCTAGCGAACCCTTCACTGCCTCAAGCCCGTGTCCTCATCGGAAAACCGGGAAATGAAATGCACCTTCTGGCCCTGGCCGGCTTGGCTCAGTGGATAGAGCGTCGGCCTGCGGACTGAATGGCCCCATTTCAATTCTGGCCAAGGGCACATGCCTGGGTGGCAGGCTCGATCCCCAGTAGGTGGTGAGCAGGAGGCAGCAGATCAATGATTCTCTCTCATTGATGTTTCTATCTCTCTCTCCCTCTCCCTTCCTCTCTGAAATCAATAAAAAAAAATATTTTTTTTTAAAAAAAGAAAGGAAGTGCCCTTTCTGGCGAGGTCATGAGGTCTGGCTGAGGCCTGGCGCTTCAGAAGCTGAGGGCCAGCCTGGATGTCCACTAGGTTTCCACCCACTCACTCACTCAGTCATCACATACCCAGCTGTGGGCCCCCGTGGGCTGTGGTGACCACGGTGACCACTAGTGTCCTGGGAAATGTCTCCGCCAACAATGGGGCCAGCTGACAGCTGAGCACTTGTTGGAGGAAGATGTTGGTCAAGTGAGAAGAGAAAGGCCAGCTGTGGTGGGAACGGTGCGCAGCCGGCTGCGTGAGGGTCGGCCCTGGGCCAGATCCCAGGTGCAGCACAGCCAGCCGCCCACCCAGAGCTGGGTCAGTCCTGAGGGCCTTGGAGGACAGGTCAGGCCCCAGGTGCTCGGGAGGCCACGCCTGTGAGGGAGCCTCCAGGCTGCATCCCTGCTCTTCAAACCCTGCCTTACGGGCTCTGGTCTTGCACCAGGTGTCCCCAGTGGACCCCAAAGTCTGTGGCCTCAGAGGCAGGGTCACCCCGGGCCCGGACCAGGGGATGCTGTGCCCTCCAAGAGAAGCTGCTCCCGCAGCTGGGCTCCTGCCGAGCGCAGGTCCGCGCTTTCGGAGAGGCTCTGCCTGCAGGGAGGTGCCCAGGCTGGAGGGCACGGCTCCTCTGGCGGCTGGGAAAGCACAGAGCCGGCTCCCAGGTCTCTGGGCTCAGGCAGGAATGCCCTTCCCTTTCCCGGCCTCTTCTCCTCATCGCTGTGATGGAGGTCAGGTGAGAGTGTGACACCCTAGGGTTGGGCCACGTGCTGGGGGGCGCTGTGCCTTCCCGAGTTCTGGGGGAGCTCTCAGGAGTGCTGGCCAGGGCAGAGCCACCACCGAGGGACCCCTGCCTGATCCCGTGACCTTGCTTTAGGGGCTCCAGCAGCCTGCGGGCCTCCACGAAGCCCTCGCTCACTGCCAAGCGGCTCAGGCCTGGCAGAGGCCTGGCTCCCCAACAGCCTGTGAACCCATGGCATCTCCGAGTTCTAGATGGGAGGGCCCTGAGGTGGCACACTGTCCCAACGAGGCCTAGGAAACCTGAAGCCATTGCTGCAGGCAGGCAGGGCTCTGTGATGCGCTCCAGGCGCGGGACCTGAGGCTGAGCAGGTGCAGGAGGCAGTGGGAGCCCCTTGCGGCGCCCACCACGCCCGCACACACCTGGAGGCTGGCATTTACCAGTTTCCACAGTTTAGCAGCAACCCAGGCTGGATTATCGCGTTATACGCACGCTCCTTAGTGCCTTCAGAGGGGGCCCTCGCAGGCTCAGGGCACAGGCCCAGCCTGGGAGGATGCTGCCCTCCTCACCCAAGGTCAGCCAGGCCTGCAGGTAATGAGGGGCAGGAGCCAGGACTGTACCATTGGAACTCCGGTGGGGGGTACGCAGCTAGCTTCACGGGCAGCTTCACCAGCTTGTCTCCTGCTGTGGCTTCCAGGACGGGGCCCTTGAGCCACTCGACGCTGATGAAAGGTTTTTCTGCCAGACGGGAGGCATCGGTGTAAATCCAGGGGCTGGCATGGCTTACCCACCACTGCCCAGGGCCTCAGCCACGGCCCTGCGCCCCGAGGACAGACCCTTGCAGACTGGGGCTCCCTCTGCCCAGCAGGGTGTGGGGGCCAGACAGGCCATCCGCCCACAGCCCTCCCTTGCCCTGGGCTGGACTTCGTCCTGCTTGGTGCACTATGACCTCTGACCCTGGCCCGAGCTGCACAAGGACCCTTGTTCCACAGGCCCGGTGACCACCCAGGCCCTGCTGGGCACGCTGACCCCGCCCCAGACGCACCGTGCACGATGACCTCGGTGCTCTCCCGGAACCGCTGGATGCCATTGTTGGCCTCGCACGTGTACGGGCCGAGGTCGCGCTGGCTGACGTTGTGGATGGTCAGGATGCTGGAGAGCTCGGTGTGCGTCTGCTGGGAGCGCCGCTCGGGCACCCACTTGCCCCGCTCGGCCTGCCCGTGCCCAGGGGAAGTGCAGGGTCAGAACAGGCAGCCCCGGAGGGCTGACACCAAAGACACGCACCCAGCCCAGCCAGCAGTGCCGGGGGAGCCGGGACGCACCCAGAGATGTCCCCGGGGAGGAAAATGTCCCCATCGGACCAAGGCTTCCGGGGCAGAGCGCAGTCTGCACCTTCGCTACACACAGGCAGTGAGTGCCAGGCCGGCAGGCATGGCACAGGGGGGGCCGGGCAGGGATGGGACGCCTGGAGGTGGCTCTGGCACAGCCCTGGCAGAGCCGGCGGCCTTACCTGCTTCCCTGGGTAGTCCCAGTCGAAGGTGACGCCCGAGTTGAACTCGGCCCACACGGTGCAGTTCAGGACCAGCTTTTCCCCGACGAGCAGCTCCATGGACTTCTTGGGGAACAGCTGGATGTCATAGAGCTCGTTGCCTGGCGACACATGAGCAGTGACCCCCAAGCCCCTCACCAGCACAGCACCCGGAGTGCAGGGCGCAGGGCACCCACCAAGACCAGCGGTGGCACCTACGGCCCCATCACTGAGAATCTGGGGTCTCCATCTCCCCCTGCAGTCTTCCTCCCTGGACCCTGTGGCCCAGGACAGCCCCTACCTGTGATGTGCACGATGAAGGGGTTGGACAGGAAGGCCTGGCCGCCCCAGGTGGTCTCGCACTGCAGATACAGGGTGTCTCGCAGCAGCGGCGTGGGCACCCGCATGCCCCGGCGGTCATCCCACAGCACGTCCTGCCCGTCGGGCTGCAGCACTGAGCTTGGCTGCTGGGATATGGTGGCCGTCAGCTCCCGCTGCCCCCTTCCTCCTGGCCAGGTCAATGGCTGCCTTTCCCAGGGAGAGGACAGGAGGGCTAGGTCGTGGGGGGTGAGGGGGCTGTACCAAGCGCAGGGTGACGTTGAGGCCAGGGATAGACACCAGGCAGGGCACCCACATGGAGTCCTTCCTGTCGACCAGGAGCGTGCCTGGCTTGTTGATGAACGGCTGCTCCGAGTCTGCAGAGAGAGCGCAGTTTGTGGGAAGGGCAGGTGGAGCTTGAGGGGGTCTCTGCCCAGGTGGGGCCTCCAGGGCAGTCCCAGGAGGTCTGGAGGCCAGGGGTGGGGGGTGGGGGCCAGCTGCCCCCCCAGGACCCTGCCTGTCACCTCGTTGGCTGCAGGAGTGCGTGGGGCTGGGCCCCTCACCTCTTACGAACACATAGGTGCTGGCCGCGGTGGTGCCCTCGATGCGGGCCTTGATGTACTTGTAGTAGCAGCCGTAGCTGCCCGTGTCGTTGGCGTGGGCCTCGGGGAGCAGCAGCACCTTGCAGTAGGGCCGGGCATCCGTGCCTTCGCAGTCGCGAACGAACCCCAGGTCTTCACTGTCCTTTTCCCCCGTGGCTGGCGCTTCCTGAGCCCCTGGCCAGGCCCACTGGAGGGGGTGCTGCCCCCTGGCAGAGGAGGCAGAGGTCAAGAGGGGCTCCACTGCAGCCCCAGGGGCCAAGGCTTGCCCACAGCTTGTCTCACCCGGAGGTCAGGCCAGCCGGGTGCTGGGGCACACACCATGGACCCAGCCCACAGCGGGCACTGAGTCCCGGGCCTCTGCCTGGCTCCAGGCCTCTGTGCGGCAGGCTGGCCTCAGAGCATAGCTGGGCTGCAGGCGGATAACATGTCCGGAGCCTTTGAAATTGGCTAACTGGCCTGGGCTGAACAGCGGCTGCTGAAGTGGGTACAGGGTGACCCAGGGGTGGGTGCAGGGTGATGGTCTGTGGTCCATGTGAAATGACCAGGGGTGGCTGTGGGGGAGGTGGGTGCAGGGTGCCTGGGTCTGCAGGGTCTGCCAGCTCCCAGGCCCCCAGGGAGGCCCACTAAGCCTCAAGGCCTCTCTGCCCGGAGGAGCTGCCTCCTGGACTCTCCACCACCTTCTCCGGCCTCAGTTCTTAGTCTCCTTTGCCTGACAGACAAGGGGGCCCCAGGGCCCTGCTCCTCTGGCTGGGGGCTGAGTACCTGCAGGAGATGGACAGGCTGTCGTTGGAGTCAATGACGTGTGTCTCCTCCGTGATGTTTAGGGTCGGGGGGCTCATGGAGTAGCCACTCACCAGGCCTGGGGTAGAGGACAGGGTTAGTGTGGCGCCGGGTCACGAGTTCATGCGACAATGTCAACCAGGCGCAGACCCCCCTAGGGCAGGGGCCCCGGCAACAGGACTAGGCGCTCCCTGCCCATGGCTCCTGCCCGGGACCCACCCAAGTGAGCCCTGGCCGAGGCCGGGATCCAGCCCAGACCCCTGGCCCAGACCCCACGGGGCTGAGCTGCCAGCATGAGGTTGGGGGGATGCTGCAGACCTCATCCTGTATTGGGGAGGCCTGCCGCAGGTCACCTGGGCCTTGTGCACCCCACATATCTGCCCGAAGGCCCCTCCCTTCTGCCTGTGAGGGGTCCTCGCAGCGCAGACTGTCCCCGAGCATGCCCAGAACTGAGGCCTCGGCCTTCCCAGGACCTCATGCTCCGCCAGGCCCCATGGAGTCCACCTCATGTGTCCTTGGCCCCAACTTCTGTCCAGCCTCCAGGCCCCACTGGCTGCCCTAGCTCCTCCGACTCTGCCTGCTTCAGCCCCGCATGCTTCCCACAGGGCTTGTCCCCAAACACACACATAACTCGCCTGGCCCAGCTGAACACACGCCCAGCCCCCCAGGACCCCGGCATGGACCCTCAGCTCCTCACCCACCATCCTCCTACTAGCGTGATGGCCTGCGTGTGCGTGTGAGCATGTGTGTGTGTGTGTGTGTAAATATGTGTCTATCTGTGGGCATGGATCTGTGTTTTTATGGGGTGGGTGTATATGTGACATGTCTTTGACATGTCAGTGCATGTGCACACATGGACTTTGACATGTTAGTGTGTGTGTGTGCACGCGTGTGATCTGGCAGACCCCGGAGGTCTGGGTCTGGAACTCTGGCAGATGTATCCTGCCAGGACCATCCTGAGACAACAGGAAGAGAGGACTGCATGGCTGGAGGCCCAGGGCTGTGTCCTGTCCCTCCCCGCAAGTCCCTGTCCTCCCGGGGGGCAGGGCCCACTACCTGCCCCTGCCCCTTCCCTCCCAATAGGTCCAGCTCCTCTGCCCTCCCAACCCAGCTCCCCGAGGCCAGGCCCCCGCCCCCCAATTAGTTCTATACCACCCTAACCCCGCACACCACTAACCTCCCTGGGAAGAGGCCCTGGGTGGTACCCTCCATATACCAAGATCTTGGTGTAGCACCAATGGACAAGATGGCCAGGGCTGGAAAACCCTCCCCAAGCATCTAGTCCCACTGTACAGACAGGGAAACTGAGGCCCATCAGCAGGAGCATACTGGCCCCTCAGAGGCACTGACCGCTGCGAAGTCCCTCCTTAGCCTGAAGCCAGGACGCTGCCTCCTGCCCTCAGGCCCTAACGGAAAAGTGGCCTGGGCTCCGCTCCCAGGGGCTTCTCCATGTGGGCTCTGCCACCAGGTGGTGCCTGGCCTTCCATGCACACCAGCCCCCCACTGCATCCCTGGGCTGCTGGAGAGGGTACCCCACATGAGGAGGCCCTCCTGCCGTTGTGAGGAGCCGGGAAGGAATTGGGAAGGGGGCTCTGACCTGGACCTCAAAGGACAAATAGGATTTCCCAGGCAGCGGAGAGTGAACAAAGCCACAGCAGGCAGACAGCCGGCCTCTGAGCTGCAGAGAAGGGGGCGTGATGGGCTTAGGCTTGGACCACAGGGGACGGCTGGCATGTGGTCACCAGAGGAGAGCCTCAGCAGCCAGCACCCACCTGCCCTGGGAACAGGAATCCCCCAGTGATGCCTGCAGTGTTGCCCTGGGGACTCCAGAAAGGCTTAGGGTCCTCTCTTTGGGGTGCACATCCAGGGCACACACGGTACCCCTAGCTACGAAGCTGTGGCAGATGTCACAGATGTCAAAGGCTTCCCTTTGCTTCCAAGATAAAGCAGGCCACTCCCTTCTGCCCACTGCCCTTCTCTCCAGCCTCATCTCCCGACACATCTCTGAGAGGCATGGACCTCCCACCATCATCCCAAAGTGCCAGGCTTCTCATATCTCAAGTCTTTCACCCAGAACATTGTGCTCCTCCTTCCTGAGAAGCTGACTTGTCCGGGTATGGTTCATGCTTCCCTTCCTATGGAGCAGACAGTTACTCAGACAGTGTCAGCCTCCTTGGTGCTCCTGCTCGATGGATAGGAGAATGGGTGAATGGATGGTGAATGGATGGGTGGATGAATGAATGGGTAGATGGATGGGTAGGTGGGTGGGTAAATGGGTGGGTGGATGGACGGATGGATGGATGGGTGGGTGGATGGGTGGATGGATGGGTGGGTGGATGGGTGGGTGGATGGATGGATGGATGGATGGATGGATGGATGGGTGGATGGATGGATGGATGGGTGGGTGGATGGATGAAAGGATGGATGGGTGGATGGAAGGATGGTGAATGGATGGGTGGATGAATGAATGGGTGGATGGATGGATGGATGGATGGGTAAATGGGTGGGTGGATGGACGGATGGATGGATGGGTGGGTGGATGGGTGGGTGGATGGATGGATGGATGGATGGATGGATGGGTGGTCTGGATAGATGGATGGACGGATGAATGGTTGGATGGATGGGTGGAGAAGTGGATGGGTGGGTGGGTGGATGGTTGGATGGATGGGTGGATGGGTGGGTGGATGTGTGGGTGGATGGATGGATAGATGGTGAGTGCATGGGTGGATGAATGGATGGATGGATAGATGGGTGGATGGATGGATGGTGAGTGGATGGGTGGATGGATGGATGGGCGGGTGGATGGGTGGATGGATGAAAGGGAGGTGGTTGGATGTGTGGGTGAATGGATGGGTGGATGGATGGATGGATGGATGGTGAGTGGATGGATGGATGGTGAATGGATGGGTAGATGAATGAATGGGTGGGTGGATGGATGGATGGTGAGTGGATGGGTGGATGGATGGATGGGTGGGTGGATGGATGGGTGAGAGGTGGTTGGATGTGTGGGTGAAAGGATGGATGGATGTGTAGGTCACTGGATAGACAAGTGAATGGGGGTGAATGCATGGAAAGGGGAATAGAGCTTGTAGGAGCTTCCTCCCTAGAGGCCACCATACCACCAAAGGAAGCATCTTCCTCCTGTACTAATGCTGTATCAAAGGAGAAGCATCCATTGTGCTTGTCAACCTTTTTACCCACCCAAGTGGGTCTCTTCTCTGTGGCCATAGGCCAGTGGTTCTCAACCTGTGGGTCGTGACCCCTTTGGCGGTCGAACGACCCTTTCACAGGGGTTGCCTAAAACCATCCTGCATATCAGATATTTACATGACGATTCATCACAGTAGCAACATTACAGTTATGAAGTAGCAACGAAAATAATTTTATGGTTGGGTCACAACATGAGGAACTGTATTTAAAGGGCCAGAAGGTTGAGAACCACTGCCATAGGCCCTGACTTGCCCAGTGCCCCTCTGTCTTCACTCACTTCCACGGGGACCTGTGCGATCAGCAGACTTTGCTGTAGACATCACTGTCCTCCATCCTTCCTGCCTTCACTGAAACCTGGCTTTCTGAGGACACCACGGGCCCTGTGGTGGTGATTGCTCTCCGTGCAGAACTCCCTGTGGCCACCTCCCCTTCTCCGAGGGCAACACCCACTCCCCACTAAAGCTGTCATCAGCTGTTGTCTTGGTCACTTCCCCTCATTCTCTGCTCCCGGCTCTCCAGCCCCCTCCACCTCAACTCAGGCCATTCCCCATGACTTCAACATCCACACATGACTCACCAGCGCCTTTTCAGTCATCATCTCTACGCCCTCCCCCGGCCCCCGAGGCCCCTCACTTCCCGGGTACACCCTGTTCCTGGTCCTCCCCAGAAAGTGCGCCATCACCAAGCACCTCTCTTCCTGAGTTTCTCTCCTCTGCCTCCTGCTAGGTGCCCTTGTCGCACTGCTGCTAAGTCCTTCAGCCGTAGCCGCACTCCCCGGCCAGGGACCCCTCCCCACTGTCACCACCCTCTGGCCTCACCCTTGTCCTGGAACAGCATGGCTCATGGTCCATCACTGCCTCTCACCCTCCACCCCAACCCCGGGACATCACGTGTCCCTCAGTGGCTCAGAGCTTCGGCAAGGACGGAGCCGCACTGCAGCCTCTGCTCTTTCTTTCCCAGTGGCCGAACTTCACAGGGCCTGGGGCTGCAGGTCAGGGTTTTCTTCCCCCTCCCTGCCCTCTCAGCCTTAATGAAGTGAAGCCATTAGATGGAGACACCCCATGTTTCCACATTCAAACCCCACACCCCCAGCCTGGGGCCCTGGAACCCTCTGACACTCCAACTCCCAAGGTCAAGCCCTCCATCAGGTCAAGGACCCCAGCCCCCTGGACCTGACTCCTGCAGATTACTTCTTTCTCTTCTGATCACCAATATTTCTCTGTGGAATCATCTCCTGTCTTATAAGAAAAAATAAAACCCCAATTCCTTGGTCCTATACTCCCTTCCAGCCACTGGTCCTCCTCCATCCCCTCCATACAGAGCTCTCTCCCTGTTCCCCTCCTCTCACAGTGCTCATCCTCCCACTGGGTGCAGCCCCATCCCCTGCTTCACGGCTCCCAGGACCCCGAGGCTGCAGGACAGTGGGCCCTCGTGGGCAGGGACCAGAGCTGTCCCTTCTCTGCTGCCTTCTGTGATCCCACTCTCCCCTCATGCTCCCCCTGCCCCTCTGCCTAGCACCAAAGGCTGTCGCCTCACTCTCTGTTCTCCGCCGTCCTCTCTCCTAAATGTCCAGATACCTCCAGTTCTCCATCTCCTGCCCAGACCCCTTCTCTCAACTCCAGCTTGAAGGATCCAGCTACCGCTGTGTTTGGCCGCCCCATACACCCCCGAGTTCCACATGTCTGAGGCTGAACTCCAGGCTCACACCTCTCCACCCTGCCAAAGGCTCCTCTTTAAAAAAAATAATAATAATAATTAATGGATTAACTAGTTTTTAAATATATTTTTATTGATTTCAGAGAGGAAAGGAGAGGGAGAGAGAAACATCAATGATGAGAGAGAATCAACGACCGGCTGCCTCCTGCACGC